TAAACTATCAGTGACTGAATTAGCTTCTCTGCAATAGAAATAGTAGCCAACACTTGCAAAGTCCAAAGCGAGATGAGTACATTCAGCTAACACCGCCACATCCGGACCATATAATCATTTGCATGGGTAACCGACTCAACTGCAGACGTACAATCAGATTCAATGACCAGCTTGTTGCATCCTATTTTCCCGGCCAGATATAGACCATCCCAAGCACCATTTATCTCTGCTGATTCAGCATTGCAAACATGAGGTAAAACCCAAATCGCAGCAGCTATGAAGTTCCCTTTGTGGTCTCTCGCCACTGCGCCACTAGCTTCGGAAAGAGTTTCAAGATGAAAAGATGCATCAACATTTATCTTAATAGTGCCATCAATCAGTTTCTGCCAGGTATGGATTTCTTTCCTGGTAGGTTGATTCGGTGTTGCAGCTCTAAAAAAATTTGTTGCCAGAACCAGGATTGAGACAGCCAAGCGACTAGGCTCCTGGACGGTCTCTCCTTTTCCAATTTGACGTCTTTGCCACCATACCACATAGCTACCAAGATTAGCTCTGCCTTTGGAAGTTCATCAATCATCTTGCGGTTTTTCAACAAAATTTCTAGAGTAATTGAACCGGGCCTAACATTGAACTAGTGCACGTTGGACAACATCCTGTAAGCCAAGTTCGGTCCATTCCTCCTTCACCCTTGAACAATTAAAGTGGACAGGTTCTATATCATCAAAACCAAATTTACATATTGGGCATTGTGGAAGAACCGGGATGTGTCGTCCAGCTAGGACAACTAGGCATGGTAATACACCCATTAGTACCTTCCATCCAAAATGTTTAACTTTCCCTGGGATACGGAGTTGCCACAATTCCTTCCAGACCGAATTTATGTGCACACTGTCCATTTGGCGCCCAAATTGATGATTGAACTCCGCATGATATGCCGATCAGACTGAGAAAGTTGCGGATCTTGTATATTTCCATGCAACAAAATCTTCCACAGCCTCGGTCCGAAGGGGAACTGCACAATTCTGGCGACATCCACCGTTAAGAAGATAGAATGAATGAGATCCAAATCCCGTTGACCTGTATGAGGGTCAATCAAATCATGTACCAATTTTAACATAGTTCCTCCTCTTGGTGTAATGACTCTCCTTGTTTCTCTAGATGGGATCCATGGATCTTGCCAAATTTTTATTTGCGATCCTGAACCAACTCACCATATACAACCTCTTTTAAAAGTCTGAATTCCAGCAACTATACTTTGCCAAGTAAATACTTTGCACTTAGAACTCGAGCACACAAAGAATCGGGATTCCGGAGCTATTCAGTTTGTTGGTTCACGGGACGAGAAGCATAACATGTGAAGGGTTTTATGTAAATATGTCCCTGTATCTGAAGCATCCGTTCGAGATCCTACGGATGAGACACCAATTTTTCAGGTTTTCATCACTAGAGAATTTTCATCACATATGTTCCGGCGAATAATTGATATTGCTCGTGTTGCTGTTTCCAAAATTGCAGTTGTAGCCACATTCTCATTCATCGAACTCGTGCCAGGGAAGCCACCAACCACAACGATGTTGCATGGATATGGCACCCTACAACATTTTCGTGAAGGGTGCGATAGGGATTTGATAGGTTAGTCCAATAGTCACCAGGCCATGCATGAAAGGATTTTAATCAACCAAATATGCCTTGTTTCAATTTAACCGTCCCTTTTTATAATAAATGGTGTTTTTATTGACTTATAATGAAGCAGCACATAAATACTAAACATAATGAGTATTCACACGACCTCTGCATGACTAGGATTCACACAACCATCACCAACACATGCACGCAAATGAAACACGCCTGCAAGAGCAAAGTCATACAAAACTAAATCTATGCATATCTGGTAGAAACAGAAAAAACCCAAAGTGATCAAACATTATTCAACGAACAACATCAATTACCCTTGGTATCAACCATCTCTTGACAACACAAGGATTATGAGGAAGGTTCTTCAAAAATGACACCTTCAAGAAGGGAACGATGCATACACGACGCCGTTGCTGGATGCAACTGCCGTAGTCGGATCGCGACCTTTCACTCTAAAGATCAAGTCTGAATAAACTCCTAGCAATGCCTTCAGCAAGGTCATCACGCAAAAATTCGCCATTGCTAGGTATTACAACTAGAGTCAAGCCTAGTAATTCACACACACGAGAAGTCATTGGTGAGGGAGGAAGGTCACTGGCATTGCCAGTATCCTAATTCTGGACGCTTTGCCGGCCCCGCACCATCCTCACAAGTGGCAATCTATGAAGGATATGCATCAGACGATGACGCCAGCACATGCGACCACTTGTTCCCCATTGCTTCCAGCAGTGTAGGACCACAGTGGCAACCGTCTGTCCAAGAAGAGGACCACGATTGCCGTCCGTGAACTGGATGATCGTGGGATCACTATCTCCAGTGCAAAACCAACTTCCGACATGTGGTTGCTGCTACACAATCTTCACTTGTCTCAAGCCACTGCTCTTATTTCGCATCACGCCGTCATGCACAGATGATGGGAAGGATCTCACCATCATGGGAGCTCAGGGTCCGCAACCATCACAACAAGGGCTGGAGGGAGCGACAGTTGGAGTGGACAACGCCTAACCAAGAAAGCATCGTGTCGCCCATTAGGTCCAGTGTCAATTGCCACATGGACGTAGCGAGTGCCACTGCAAGGCTCGCCATGGTAGATCGCAACACCCCAGATTTGTAGCTGCATTGGCCTTGGTCATGCGATAGGATCGGCGTCATGGATGGTGTGTAGCCTCTCGCCTAGGAGCCGAACTCGCATAGGCAAGGACCGCCCGGTTCGAGATTGCTAAGCCTAGCTAGAGCCATTGCCGCGCCACTGCAAGGCAACGCCAAGCGGTAGAGGAACCGCCAGCCCAATTCGGGGGCGAGCTCACCGCAGCCATGGCACGTGCTAGCGGCGACTACGGAGAGAAAAGGCGCCCACGGGAGGGAGGCTAGAGGTGGCGACTACGGTTCCTCATAGGTCACTCGCACGGGAGCGACATAGGAGTCAAGAAACTATCCTTCTTGCCTAAGGGCATCTCCAACATGGATCACCAAAACATGGAAAACTGTCCGACCAAACAGGCCGAACACTTTTAGGCCTCCAACATGAGTCGCCAAATTGAGCCAGACTGGTCCTTGGCGTCCAAAATCCCACAGCCCAGCCCCAAATTGATGGAAGCTCTATGGGAGTGGAAACATCCTCCATGTTGGACTGCGACGCTGATGTCCCACCCAAAACCCCTCCTGGAGCCCATATTTTTTCATAATCCTGATACTCTTTTTGCGACAAAGCATGCACTCCGCGCTTGATCATCTTCGTCTGCTCGGCCATCCACCACCACTGTGATGGATCTGTCGAAGCCCTTCACGCAGCCCGTCGTCCCGCGGAACCTTGGAAAGCATGCCTGTGTGACCATGTCCACAGAATGTCAAGTGCAGCGAGGGGGGGCCATCAATAAGGTCGCGGCCGCTTGGGCCACAGCTCCTCCACAGCGGACCACCGTGCCCGGCCAACAACAGCCCTACCCCGTTCCCCTAGTCCATGCCACTGTACCTGTACTATTATGTCGGCCATCTAAATAGTCAGCCCGAGAGACGTGGTCGCCATAACACTCCACAACCTCCTTCACCTATGCCTCCAGCCGCCTTCCACGGTACACTTTCGACCTTGACACGAACTATATGTACACGGAAATGGAGTCTCGCAGCTCGTCGGTCGATGTTTCCATCCAAGGAGCCCTCGTCCAGCAATGCCTAGTCACTTCGGCAGAATGCCTCCCCCAAGCTCGACGATGGCCTCCGATGAGCGATGTTGAAAATGATCCACAACGATGGCGACCACAAGGACAAATAAGTTGAGGACGACTACTTGCCATAGCCGGAACAAGAAGAGCTTGATCCAGACACCAAGCAGCCGTAGTCGGACGCGCCCAATCCGGGCGGCAAGAAGACAAGAGGTTCGTCTTACCCAGTAAATGAGGATATACATCATTCAACATGAGGTCAATAATTATTGCGGCGCATACACACAAACACAAAAGCGGCGAGGTTTGTTCAAGTTTCCGTGCTAAAATGAAGTCTTTGACACGGACAACCAGACTAGGTGCTTTTAAGATCTATGGATGTATAAAACTTGATGAACATCTGCTGCTTTTGGTAGTAGTTGCATCTGTTTGTAAGTATATAAATGTATGTTTGGATTGCTAGATCTAGTTAAAGTTTGTCAAAGGAATGAGGAGCTGGACAAGGGCAGACATTTGGTGACTCCAAGTGATCCGCGTTATAGGGACAATTCGCAAGCCTTAACTGTCCCAATAGACTAGCATACACTTATCCCTATGAATTCGCAAGCCTTAATTGCCCTATAGATGAAGATATTTTCCTGGTTATATCTGTGTTTTTTTACATCTCTTTTTTTAGCACGGCACAATCGAAGTCACTCACATAGACGAGCATACACTTATCCCTATGAACACCTCTAAGAGACAGAGCCGGCACATTATCTTGACATTGATGAAGTTGCCACATACGCCCATGGTCGACAGAAACGTCTCCTCTCACTGAACACACATCACCAAAAGGACTGGAATAAATCCAGAAAAATATAAGCACCAATATCAAGTTTGGGACTTGAACTTTGGTAGGCAGGGATACCAATGTCCTCCTAACTATCCAGCCAAAAGTTCTCTCTGATTATATATGTTTGATCGTAATCAATGTTTCATATGGACAAAAATACCTATTATTTAATGTCACGCTGGTAACGTATTCCACTTGTTTTTGGATTTTATTGAGAGTATATGATTTTTGTTGTCAACATAAAGTATTGCCAATTTTGTAGACAAGTCGTGTGGCTGGAGCTAGCGAATAAACGTTACGGGTGTGCTTATATAGAGAGCGTCTGATGAGTAGGAAGCCAGCCATTCCTAGTCAGCTGTCTGGACGCCATGGCTCTTGAAGCAGCGTACCACTACCTGCAGCGCGCCGTCGGCCATGGCACATCCACAGAAGCACTACTACTCACCGTTCTCCTGCTACTCATCATCCGACTAGCATGGGTAAGAGCCTTCGCCACCACCACCGCATCAGCAAAATGCAAGCAGCAGCTCCCGCCTACACCTCCCGGCAAGCTACCCATCATCGGCCACCTCCACCTTATCGGCTCCCACCCCCACGTCTCATTCCGCGACCTCGCCGCAAAGCATGGCCGCGACGGCCTCATGCTCGTCCATGTCGGTGCCGTGCCCACCGTCGTTGTGTCCACGCCCCAGGCCGCTGAGGCTGTCCTGCGCACGCACGACCACGTGTTCGCGTCCAGGCCACGTAACCCCGTCGCCGACATCATCCGCTACAACTCCACAGACATCGCGTTCGCGCCCTACGGCGACTACTGGCGTAGGGCTAGGAAGGTCGTCAACACGCATCTGCTCAGCGTCAAGATGGTCTACTCCAAGCGCCATGACCGCGAAGAAGAGGTACCTAACTAAAGATGTACTATATTGCTCTTCTTTTATAGAAACACGGTACAAACACAGATGCTCACACTAATCGACTCAATGATCACTGTAGGTGCGGCTCGTGGTCGCCAAGATCCGTGAGTTGGCCACAGCTGCTCCAGGCAAGGCACTGGACATGACGGAGCTCCTGGGCGGGTACGCCAGCGACTTTGTGTGCCGTGCGGTCCTTGGAGAGTCCCACCGGAAGAATGGCCGGAACGAGCTTTTCCGCGAGCTCACCGAGATCAGCGCCTCCCTGCTGGGGGGATTCAACCTGGAGGACTACTTCCCAAGGTTGGCAAACCTGGATGTGTTCCTCAGGGTGGTTTGCTCCAAGGCAATGGGAGTCAGCAAGAGGTGGGACAACCTGTTTAACGAGCTCATCGCCGAATACGAACACGGCAAGGAAGATAACGCGGAGGACTTCGTACATCTTTTGCTTTCGCTGAAGAAAGAGTACGGTCTCTCCACGGATAACGTCAAGGCCATCTTGGTGGTAATTAACTCAACTTATAAATTTGAAGTTTTCATGCATGTTGCATAATAATTAAGTAGGTACACAATTGATAATCGATACTAAGATTATTTGTGTCATCTTGTAACAGAACATGTTTGAGGCAGCTATAGAAACATCATTCCTGGTGCTGGAATACTCCATGGCCGAGCTCATCAACAACAGGCACGTCATGGCCAAAGTGCAAAAGGAGGTAAGGGAGTCCACACCCGGCGGCGAAAAGCTGGACCTGATAATGGAGGAGGACCTCAGCGGCATGCCCTACCTCAAGGCGACCATCAAGGAGGCGATGCGCATACACCCGCCGGCGCCCTTCCTGCTCCCACACTTCTCCACCAACGACTGCGAGGTTAATGGATACACCATTCCTGCGGGAACACGTGTCATTGTGAATGCTTGGGCTCTTGCCAGAGACCCGTCGCACTGGGAGAGAGCGGAGGAGTTCTACCCAGAGAGGTTTCTCCAAGAAGGCCGTGATGCAGAGGTCGACATGTATGGCAAAGATATCCGGTTTGTGCCTTTCGGTGCCGGGCGGAGGATCTGCGCGGGGGCTACTTTCGCGATCGCTACTGTTGAGGTAATGCTGGCGAACCTCATATACCATTTCGACTGGGAGCTTCCGAGTGAGATGGAGGCCATTGGCGCAAAGGTTGATATGTCAGACCAGTTTGGGATGACCCTTCGCCGAACGGAGAGGCTTCACCTTGTTCCTAAAATTTACAAATAAGTATCACCGTTGTAGCTTTGTGTTATTTGTATCGGCTGATAGGTCAGCTAACCATTGTCCGTTATGTTAGCTGCCTATTACTATGCCACCTTAATGTAGTTGTGTTGCATGCTTCGGGAGTTTGTTGCACACCCGAGGGACCTGTGGGATCCTCTACAAATGTAACAGCGAATAATGAATAAAAGTATGGTTGTATGGTAGATCGTGGTCTATGGATTTTGATGTAATTTTTATTATTTTTAGTGTTCGTTGTACCATCATGATTGAAGATGAATAGATTGAAAAAATTTCCCGCAAAAAAAAAGATCACAGGTTCTCAACTATCCTTACTCCGCTATTTGGAATGCCGATGTGGCGATGTGCAGCCATATAAACACTCGTGTCCCAAAGTTCGAAAACTTTCTTCTCTTGGAATTTCATGCGTCAGAGATAAGCTAATACTACCGTCATCATCCTCCCATAGCGGGAACCAGAAGGCATAATTTTTTGAAAAATCAGCATGCCCACTACTGAGAAATAAAGAACAAGGAATCTAATAATATCTCACTACAAAATGACGAAAAAGCATAACAATTACTGAATATTCCACAACACTTGTCTTTGCAGAGTTCACCGTGGGCCAACTTAATGATCACGTAATTAATAACATCAGTCCTGACATTTTTATGCATGAAAAGTCACACGTCAAATGGATTTTCAAGCGAAAATGCATGTATGCGCGTGCACATGTGTAGCTAATGTTCATTCTCTCTTGCCTTATTTCACACTATTTTCAAGAAAGGTTTAGAGCTCTACTATTTTAGTTACATCAACTAGTGGCAATATTGCACTATTCAGTATTCTTGAGAAATTTCATATTGGTCCTCATCATCATGGGCAGCTACATGAGAGTATATGTGCAATCTTTTTTACCCTTACATTAAGAAATATTGGACCCTTAGATGTCTTAGAACAAAACATTTTAGATCTCATTGTGAGCTATGATTTCCGTATAAAATTGTCTCACTTCTATAGAAGGCATCAAAGGTGAACCCATACCTTAGTGAGAAATTTGTGAGAGGGCATCTAACAATAGGAAGTATGCAATCGGTGTTGCAAATCAAGTGACTGCCAAACAATGGTGTGCATAGGGGCGAGCTAGAGTAGAAGAAGGTGGATGTTGACATGTTGTGAACCATCTGTTACTACGGCATTAGGCGTGGTCGCTTACCACTACATATATATAGCCTGCAATTTTCTTGTTATATTCCAGTTTTTTCTTTCTTTTTTTGAGAAAGTGTTATATTCCAGTTAGTTGGCAATGGACAACCGTCACATTTGATCAATGACTTTGCCCATTCATAAGAGTCGCTTCATTGAGTGGACCATCTGTTAGCCCAAGGTCCACAATCTCCTTCATAAATCACGAGACCTCTCTAGGTTTCTCACTTGTTCCCTCAATTCAGCTCTTCAGTTTCCCACAAAAAGCCATCTCCTCGAGCTCCATGGCTGTATCCTCTTCGCCTTCGTCACTATGACCTCTCACTCTATCTCATTGTCGTCCATTGCCCACCTTTGCAACCATTAGAAGTAGGTAGATATGGAGTTGGAGGTTCACCAAACTCAAGACCTCCGATGGATGAGGACTTGGAACCCGACTTGCAAGATATTAGACACCAGTCTCTTTTTTTCGGTAGACACCAGAGTCTGATATTGTAAGAAGTGTACAATAAATAAAGAAATTAAAAACATGTTGTGTTTAAGATTTTTCGAGGCAAATTTTGCATGGTCATACTAGCCCTTGAAATAAGTGGTTTTCTATTATTGCAACAACTTACCATCCGTACTCAAACGTCTCAAAGTTAATCTAACAACAATAATAAACTGCTACTTAGGAAAAAACATACACTTAACATGCAATAATTAATCACATATGTGATGATATGCCATGGCCATATGCTGGCCACAGGTAGATCTAGAAAGAAAACTGAAAACCATGGCTGCACAAGAGTAAAACTGACATTTATGCCACAGATCATGTCCTGAAAATGCAGTCTGCCATAGAAGAATTCAACCATTTGAACTACCGTTTCTGATTAAGTGATGTTTATAACATAATAAACAAGCAAGAGCACAATGTCCAAATAAGATCATTTCATGGGGAATTAAGACCCTAGGACTCCAGAGAAGATTCATGTTACCGGTCGCAAATATTAAAGAGTACGGAGATCAACAGGTCACAAGAAATATTTAAAACAGTACATGGCCAAACACAAACGCATAACACTTAGACTGGGATTACAAGTAGTACAAAATGTGCATATGAAATTTGAAATTAAAATAAGTGTTACAGATTTATGATTGCATGCACTAATACTCATGTGACAAGGTGCACAACATAAATAATGTAGAATTGCTGTAATACAATTTGATTATCACCCTCGGAGATGTGTTACGAATCTACAATGACATTTATGGGACATTAAATTTTTAATTAATACAAGCACACAAAGACTGTAAAATTTCAAAAACAGATGAATAATTCCTCTGGTGCCATTCAAACTCAAAGCTTCCCTCAGGTGACAACTTCTAATTTGTGCCTGAGGTGATATGGGCTTCATGACTGACGATTTTTTGTGCGAAACTTGTGGTTATCACATAATGCTATTGTTAAAAAAATGCATGAGACTATGATCTCTTTTAACTGTTTCCAGAGGGAAGTTTAAGGCAAATTTAATTATTCATATTCTGCATAAATACATGCAAACACATGTATGGACAAAAAATGTTTCATAAGTAGCGAGGTACGTGAACCCATTATGAGTGCACATCTCATGTCATGAATTGAATAAATAAGAGCGTAAAGTTAACTTGTACAATTTACACAAGCCACACTATGAAGCCAATCCCTAGCATAAAAAGTAAATTAAGTGCCATAAAATTAACACGTCAGATCTACCCAACTCAGCAATGGTGGATGCATCCAACAATATATTGGATGATGATTACCCTAACACCACACACTACAAAATTAAAGAAAAAGGCACAGCAATCTTGTTTGGTCCATCCACACACACACACACACATGCATTATATATATATGTCCAAATCAGAGTTGTTGTATATTACCAATCCATGCATCCGGATTACTATGTCACAATGTTACCATGTTAACATCAAGATTACTATGTAACCATCAGGCTTATGGCCATCCACACATTACTTACCAACAAATCAGTGACAAGCCTGTGAGCAGGGGGGCAGGATGTCCACCCAATGACCCCAAAAAATGCAGCATCTGCACTCTCACATGGTCATCAATCAATCAACATGATTCGATGCGATCCAATACGTACGGAGTACACAGTGATGGAATCCCACGCGGTGCACGCCCATATTATTCTGTAATATCACCTTGCAAGGCAGTGACAAATCTTAGCAAACCGCCAACTGTTGCTGTTATGTGCCCCATCCACACACATGCATCAGTAATCAGTGGCACCAGGTCTTTTGTCCAATCAATCCACAGATACTATTATCTGTCCATGAATCACAGATGTTGCATGATTGAACGCCTGTGAGCAGGGGCTGGGGTACGTCCATGGCAACATGGCATATTATTTCCCATCATGGTTGCATATATTGCCCGCTCATTGCCCAAATGGGCGAGTTTTTACCAACATTTTTGTCCTTGTACTTTTTCCAAACAGTGTTTTCAACGTAATGTTATCAATCATACAACTATAACTAACCTAGCCAACGAAGAAAGACACTTGTGCTCCGTTGTAGAGGCTAACTAACTGAAGCTAGTTAGCACAAATGGAATTAGAATAGGTACCCACCCGATTGTGGCAAGCGCCTCCTAATTATAAGTGGGTACCCCACCCCTGTGTGAATACACAAATATTCACCATACAAAGATGTAAATGATACTCCCTCCGTTCACAAATATAAGATGTTTTCGATATTCCAATATGGACCGCATAAGGATTGAAATAAGTGAACAAACACATTAAACATGTCTATATACATCCGATTCACAAAAATGTTAGAAAATATTATATTTGTGAACAGAGGGAGTACATGTTAAAGAAATCATCCACTCCATTATTTTCATTTTATTTCCACAAGCAGTAGGAGGAGGACGCTCACACATTATGGAATCCCAGAACGTACAGTGATGCAACTCCTCGGTACTCGTTCCATATGGGCCTTTGTCTAACCTAATATCTCTAATCCGCCTATGGCTAATTGGCTAGTAAATTAGAGGCCATTTTTGTGGTCTGAGGTGACATGTGCCAACCTCATCACGGACACTTTGTGCGTGCACCACAAAATAAAGAAGAGCAAGAAATTAATTTATCTACTCTTTGATTTAAAGACTGAGGGCCACTGTGCATTGCAGTCAATCCCTAGTCTAGTCTAAAACACACAGTGCCCTAAACTCAGGAATTGTCTATGCATCTAGCTGCACGATTACCCTGACACCACACATACTCAAAATTCCTACAGAAAATTAAAGAGAAAGGTGTCCATCCACGTGAGCACACGCGCCAAGATCCAACGACAAGGCCCAATAATGAACGCATGGGTGAAAATCATAAGAGGCTAAAAGATAATGGGGCCGCGGCACAGACATTGTTTGTATGGAACTTGGTGCATGATTGATAGTACCACTAATGGCATATTTTTGGTACCATATTTGTCAGGCGCCACTGTTGGCAAATCTAAGCACATGCATATGGAATCATATCCTTTTTCGGACTTCGCTACACTGTCCTTTAGCCTTTATAAATTTCATGTCAATGATGGACCTTGTCGTTGGATCTGGTGGCAGATGCTGTCTTTGTGCACAGCACAGGGCTCACCAAAGTAAATACTTCTAGAATCAATAAAAGCAACTGGCCAGTTTGGTTTAACAATAACCACCAAAGCTGTCGATCTGAGTAAAAGAATAATTTAGAATCAATAAAAGAAAGTGGCCAGTTTGATTTAACTGTTTCCATGGAGAAGTGCCATAT